TCAAACAACAAAAGGATTCATTGTACAAAAACATACTGAGAAAGGCACTATGCTGGATCACCACAGGGCTAATCATAGCCTGGTAACAAACAATAAGTGAAAAATTAAAATATAATTAGATAATTACTAAACTACAGGCAATGCAAGGAAAAAGCACTCTGAGGACTCTTACCCTTAGATACTCCTCAAATATAAGTGTTAACTGATCATGGAGAAACATTAGAAGACATTTAAGGCAAAAGGATAATTGTTGCAAGGGCACAATAGCACAAAAGAGTATGGCAAGTAAGGGTGCTTGCTACATGTGGTTCAGAATGATTTATTTTATTCATTTATTATTCATGTTGGATTCAGAGTCAGCTAGATCATTTGAGCTTGTGTCAGATCATGAAGGATTTCAACATTATCTCTTACAGACCATTCTAGTGGTAATATGGAAAACTGCTGAGAGATGAGTGAGAAGCGATCATGAAACCTAGATGAGGAGGGTAAGGAGATGGGCCTCTGACTAGACCCAGTGTTTGACTGGATGTAAATATAAAGGACATAAAGGAATTGATACATTCATTCAACAAACTGAATTTCATGAATGTTAAATGAGAATTCTTAAGTTTCTGGTTTGAGAAAAAAGGGAGCTGGTGGTACCATCTTCCAAGATTATGAAAGGTAAGGTAATAATTTCATATTTGGGTATTCTGAGATTGAGGTTCTTATAGTATAAATGTCTAGTGAGCTTTATGTGGTGTTTGAGACAAACATTTGTTGTCTATTCATGTATAAGTGGTATTGAGGATATGGCTAAGATTGTTAGGGCAAAGTTTATAGACTGAGAGTAGAAGTCATAGAGAAATAGCATCATTTAAGGGGTAGGGCAGATAAAAGTTTCCTTCAAAAGAGTCAACTAAGTGGTCAGATAATTGTCATGGAAATAGTGAGCGAGAGAACAAAGCAAGAGGTAGCAAATGACTACAAAGTGACCACTGAGTAAAAGGATAAACAGTTCGCTGGTGACTGTGAGAGCAGTTTCAGCTGAGGAAAGGTATACAAATCAATGAGGAATGTGGGTAAAGAGAAAGAGAAAGAAAATTCAGCTTTATTCTCTCCATTCAATTCTTCTTCCTTTAATCACCTAGGCACACCACTTAACATCTAAATCAGAAAGTCTCTAAATACATAATTTCTTACCTCTCACTAATATCCTTGTCTACTAGTGCATTATATTTTCTAGATTTTACTTCCTTAACATTTCTAATATTCTAGGAGGATAAATCACAAAATACCATGATTATGCAATCAGACTGATTGTTTTTTCAGGAATTGACTGAGGGCCCCTGGCACATAGTCTTAGTGTTATTAGGTTTACCTGGTCCTTGTTTGTAGCTTCCTGTTGTTGAAAAACCACAAAATCCCACCAGCCAATACCCTGCTTCCCCACTGCCCGACCCTGGTGATCAACCCCATAAAACCAGGACACCCATTTGCTCTCAAGCAGAGTGTGGCTCAAGGCAGTTGTAGCCCCTCTCTTATTGTGTGAGCCACAACAAACATTACTTGCTTGAGACCAGTTATTGGTTCTTTCAAAACTTATGTGGGATTAATTAGTGGAAACCAAAGACCCTTCAGAATCTGTAGCAGAATAACTGTATTTACACATGTAATAAAAGTCTAAAATTAGCTTTTCTCATACATCATCTCATATCTGATGCCATCTGTTAGTTTTCAGTCCATTATCTGTCCCAGTCAGATTTACTACAATAACCTTAGCGTGGCATGACTTCATTTCTAACACTGGGCCATTAAATTAACATCTATAAATACAAATCTTAGTACATCCTTCTTTAGTTAAATGTTCTACAATAGTTTCAAGTATCTTTGGTGATAATGTTAGGGGACAGTAGAGCATTGATAAGTCCTTTTAAGTGCGCGGGTGAGGACCCACAGTCAGGCACCCCATTTTGTATCGGGGTTGCTCTACAACAATAACATTAAAACTTCTAGCACTTTATGATAAGGTCCTTTTCCTATCTCTTTCTTTCTTTCTTTTTTGCCATTCTCCAACTTTTTGTTTGCAGTTCTTTTTCAAAGATAAGCAGTAGCGGGCCTCCCTGGTGGCGCAGAGGTTGGTCTCAGCACTATCAAGCTATCACCAGTCACTGTGTGTGTTCGATCCTAGGCCAGGGAGATAACCCACATAGCACAGACCTCTCCTGTCTCTCCAGCTTCTCCCCTCAGCAGTGTATTTCAGTAGATCCATCTGTTCTGCTGCCCACTCTGTCTCTGATGAATCCTCTCACCCACCCACCCCCACCTCTGGCCTATACCCCAGTTCTTGTATGCATAAATACATAAAAATACATCTTAAAAAAAAAAAGATAAAGGCCTCCCTGGTGGCGCAGGGGTTAAGACTCAACCCATGAAGCTATCAGCAGCCACTGCAGCACAAGTTCAATCCCTGGCCAGGGAGCTAGCCACATGGCGCAGCAGACGTCTCCTGTCTCTACTGCTGCGCTCCTCAGCAGTATATTTCAGTCAACTGCCTGTTCTGTTCTCCACTCTGTCTCTGGTTAATCCTCTCATCTCCCGTACCTTTGGCCTGTACCCCAGTTCATGTATGCATAAATAAATCTTTAAAAAAAAAGATAAGCAGTAGCTTCTAGCCTTAGCATAAGTTGTTTTTTCACTCAAATTAATTCCAATTCATCCTTTAAATAAGAATTATTCTTCCTATTAGGCTTTCACTGAAATCCCATTCTAATTTAGAAACCCCTCTCTTTTGCTCCTTCAATTTGTGTACCTCTCAATCACTGTTATCACAGTAAAGAGGTTATGCAACTTCCCCTAAATTGTTGGCTATTTATTCTTCTGTGACTGGTAAATTGTTACCAATTTTTAGAGTTTACTTTTTGGTGATTTTGTTGTACTTTTTATTTTTCATGTAGTAAAGCAGACAGACTGTTTTAAAAATAGTTTTATGTCTTGCTCAAGAATATTTCTCTACACTAAAATATAAATTTAGTTGATTATGTATTTTTTTAAGATTTATTTATTCACACAAGAACTGGGGTACAGTCCAGAAGTGTAGGGGGTGAGAGGATTCACCAGAGACAGAGTGGGGAACAGAACAGGCAGATTGACTGAAATACACTGCTGAGGAGAGCAGCGGTAGAGACAGGAGAGACCTGCTGCACCATATGGGTAGCTCCCAGGAAGAGCTCCACAGGTTGCGTCTCAACCCCTTGCGCCACCAGGGAGGCCCTGATTATGTATTTTCTAATGTTTTTACTTAATAGTTCTCTCTTTGAAATTAATAAGCATTGCCCACATTATTAGTCTCAATAATTTTCTTTACTTGAAATTTTATTCAACATATTTACTGAATGTGTTCTTAAAAATTAGGACTTTGTTCCTGTGTGGCGATCCCTCAACCTGCTAAAGTTGGAGCTTCCATATGATCGAGCAATTCCACTCCTAGGTATTTACCCAAAGGACACAGAAACATTAATTCAAAAGGGCACCTGCACCCCTATGTTTATAGCAGCACTATTTACAGTAGCTAAGCTATGGAAACAACCCAAATGCCCAAAAATAGATGACTGGCTCAAGAAGATGTGGTACATATACACAATGGAATATTACTCAGCACTCAAAAAAGATAAACTCATACAATTTGCAGCAACATGGATGGAGCTGGAAGGGATCATGCTCAGCAAAATAAGCCAGAAAGAAAAAGAAAATACCAGATGGTCTCACTCATAGCAGGAATTTAGAAAACCTAAATAAGGGACCAGGATAAAGACTAATTATAATAAAGTAAAAATCAAAATCAACAAGCAACTACAAACCAGAGAGACACTACAGGGAAGGGAGGAGGGAGTAGGATCAAAACAAGGGGGGGGTGGGAATTGTATGGGGACTATAACCAAGTTGAAAATGCATACTTTGTGCAAAAATGAAAAACGATATAAAAAAAATTTAAAAAGTTAAGACTTTGTCATCTTCGGGGGGGTGGGAATTGTATGGGGACTATAACCAAGTTGAAAATGCATACTTTGTGCAAAAATGAAAAACGATATAAAAAAAATTTAAAAAGTTAAGACTTTGTCATCTTCGGGGGGGTACAATAAACAAACAAAAAACCACAAAGCTCTTACCTTAATAGAACTTACATTCTAGAGATGGCATAAACATCCCAAATAATTATTGTTTTCAATAAATACTATTAAGGAAATAAAATGGGTGCTACCTCTTACAGTCGTCACTAAAGGCCATGTGTACATAGAATGGATCTCCCATAATTTAACTATTTTTTTAAGTTTGCATTTTTAGATTGTTTCCACATTTGCTATAATACCAACAAATGCTTTTAGAGCCCTCTTTCTGTATGTTAACTCCATGGTAGTTTCCTAGGATTCTAATTACGCACATTGCCAAGTTGCTTTCAAATAAGAAATTCCAATACACTCACCAATGGTAAGCTGAATACTGCTCTAAGAGGTAGCAGTGGAGCGTACCTATCAAAAAAGAGGACACTTGGGATCAGCTAAGAAAAAGTTAAACGTCATGCGCTGACCTGGATTTGCTTGTGTGGGACGAATGGCTGATGACAGGGGACAGCAATTGCTTGGAACAAGAAATTCCGGATTCTAAATCTATTTCTGCCACCCTGTGACCTTCACAGGTTATAGCTCCTGCCTGAGTTTTAGTTTCCTGCACTCGGTAGATTTGGCTCAGGCTTTACGTTTTCCATTGTCTTGAGAATAAGCATTTTTCCAGTCCAAATGCATGACAACAGCTTGTGGAACTACAGAGGGGAGTGGGCTTCAAAATGCCCGTGGAACAATGCCAGCAAATCACTCGCGGGCACTTCCGGCGGCCCGGACAAAAGGCTTTTGGTCCCTGGTCTCGCACTTCCGGCGAATTGAAGCTGCGCGTTAGAGGTCTGCGCCCGTGAGCGCAATCTTGTGACGCCAGCTCCGCGACTGCGCAGGCGCGAGGCGGGACTGCCCGCCGAATGGGGCGGGTCGTGGCCATAACTTGTCTCGCGGTTATTGGCACCGCGCGAGCGCGCGAGGCTCGGGGGCGGTGCGGGGCGGTGCCTAATTCTAGTTTCTGCCGAGCGTCACTGAGCTCGGGGAGTTGGGGTCGTCTAAGGTGAGGTGGTCGCTCTGGATGTGCCTGTGGCTTTGGCCCCCAGTGTTGTGAGAGGCCTGCGGCGGAGTCGTTAAGGGGGCGCGGCGTCACCTGATCCCTCCCCTTCTCTGCTGCTGTCATGGCGAAAGCCAAAGTCGAGGAGCCACCACAGCAGGGGGCACCCGGTACGACCCCAGCGATGGACAGGACAACGGATACCCGAGGTCCTACGGTGCCAGACAGCGGAGAGCACTTGAAGGGTGAGTGGGCCCTGGAACCAGAGATGGAACTGGCCCAGAGGCGAGACTGTGCTGGGAAGGGCTCGAGAGGGTAAAGGACTCCAGTCCAGCCAGGGGATTAACAGGGTGGGGGCGGGAGAAGAGGGATGCTGGTGCCCTGAGGCGAAAACTGAGATTGGCGACCTGGGTTTGGGCTGCTGCTCACCGCAAGGCCAGACCCCTAGTAGGTGCGTCGTAAATATTTTTCTAGTTGATTCAATTCAAAGAAGGAATGACATTGCCTTGTTGACACCGGGGGAAATTATAAGGTTGATAATATTGAAGCTTGGCAAAACTGGAAGGAGCTTTTGAATTTGTTGGTTTATTTTTTACAGTAAGGAAACAGAGTCCCTGCTCTATCATTTATGACTTTGGACCTGTTATCTTTAAAAAGCGCAGTGTCTAAACTGTACCATGGAGTGATGATAATAGTAATAATAATACAATCTACTGAGATTAGTATATGAATTAAATGAAATCATTCATGTAAAGTTAGTGAGGGCTAAATAAAAGTTATTACTATTCTAAGATTTTATAAAATTCTACAGCCTTTTTCCCATTACGCTATCCTGGCATTTCCCAGGGCTTTAAATATTTTGGGGGCGGGGGGAGGGAAGCACGCTTAGAAACTAGTATTTTAATTCCATCTTCACATAAAGTTTTTCATTGCTTTTCAGCAGTTGGAATTATTAAGCTCTTTAAATGATTTTAATACTGTAAACTTGAAGAGATCCTAACAAGTCACATTAAATTATTTGTAGCTTACTCACACTGATGTGTTTCACCACCGCTGAGAATGGAGCCTCTTTTAAGAGTGTCTGGCAATATTGTAATCAGTCAACTATAATGCATTGTACAATTTAATATTACGTATACTTTTCAGCTGAATGCTTGACATTCAGCTGAAATACTTTTAATCAAATTTAAAGTATATTTTAAAACTTTAATGTATAGCAGAAAATAGTATTTGTCAGTAATTTGTAATGTGTTCAGTCTAATTTGGTTCTTTAAGTTTAATGTATTTTGGTTCCCCCCCCCGCATAGACAGTAGAGGTAAATAATTTCAAAAATCTAAAAATGAATTATCAAACTGTAAATCCACCCTAAATTGAAGGAACATTGTTTTGAAGATGGTGCTGCTGAGAGTCACAGTAGTCCAAGGGCTTTATAAAAATGTGTTTCCTAGGTAGGGCATTGCTAAAGATTGTCATTTGGTTTGGATAGCAGTTGTTTTATTACTGTCATTTTTATTTAACCTGAAATTGTTCAGAAAATAAAATCTTGAAAACTCCAAAGTACTTTTAGAATAGTTGTTTATCATTAGAGCAGCATTTTCAACACAGTTTTTAGGATGTTGTCAAGTGTCCTTTGTGGACTACAATTTATAGGAAGATTGTGGGAGAGCATGTGAAAGATTTGGATAAGTGGAGGGAAGGGAAGGGGATTCCTGGTAGGGGAAACAGGCCTAGTTAGTGTAAGCCTTTTATGTGTGTCAGTCAAGAGTGGATATGGGCCTCCCCGGTGGCGCAGCGGTTGAGCGCTGGGTTGCGAAGCTGCGCGCGGCCTCTGCAGCGCCGGTTCGATCCCCGGCTGCTCCCCGGCCACCAGAGGAGGGTCCCACATGGCGCGCAGACCTCTCCTGCCGCCCGCTGCTCCCCTCAGCAGTGTACTTCGGTCCTTCTGCCTGCTCTGCTCCCCACTCTGGCTCTGGTGAATTCTCTCGCCCTCCCGCGCTTCTGACTGTACCCAGTGCATGTATAAACAAACAAACAAACAAACCAGCAAACAAATAAATAAAGCATAAAAAAAAAAAAAAAAAAAAAAAAAAAAAAGAGTGGATGATATCTGTTAGCTGTTAGAAAGAGATAAGGCTGGCAGTGGTCAAAATGGTGTCAGAGTATATAGAAGGCTTTTTAACTGCAATGCAAAGGAAGTTTTTATCCATCCTGTTTATTAATTATTCTGGATATTTTCCTTTTTCTTCTCTTTTTCTTACTCTGTTTACTCTTACCCATGTCTTACTCTGTTTCCCTCTTGTCTTTTATTAGTGTTAGTAGTTCTCTCAGTAGGCAAAAGATTTTGTAAACACGGATGATAGGGTTTGATTTACTTGCTAGTGGTAATCAGCTGGTGATGTGATTTCATTAGTAATTACTTAGCAACAGCAAGGCAGTAACACTGGAAGTTTTATTTCTTGCTCGGTGAGGAAGGATGAGAGACAACACAAGAGGTGGAACCACCATGCACTTCACCTAATGTGTGTACAAAGGTGCCTGGACCAGGGTATTTTATTTTCATTTGTCTTGTTTACCTTGGAAAAAGTTCCGGGGTAAACATAGAAGCATCACAATGTGATCTTATAAAACTTGCTAGAGTCCCTGTAAACTTATGCCTCAGAAGAGATGTGTCTTTTGCTTCCTTCATGGTAAAATCAAATTGGTCTAGAAAACACTGAATGTTGAGATCTATGAGCTAGTTGACCACTAAGAGTCATTCCTAAAATCTTGTAGCTTCAGGACAATTTTGCTTTTTCAATTACTTTTTTTTTTTTTTAATAGAGGCATGTTTTATTTATTTATTTATTTGTTTGTTTGTTTTTTGTTTATACATGCACTGGGTACAGTCAGAAGTGCGGGAGGGTGAGAGAATTCACCAGAGCCAGAGCCGGGAGCAGAGCAGGCAGAAGGACCTAAGTACACTGCTGAGGGGAGCAGCGGGCGGCAGGAGAGGTCTGCGCACCATGTGGGACCCTCCTCCTGTGGCCGGGGAGCAGCCGGGGATCGAACCGGCGCCGCAGAGGCCGCGGGCAGCTTCGCAACCCAGTGCTCAACCGCTGGGCCACCAGGGAGGCCCTTCAATTACTTTTTGATACAAAAGTAATTGAGAAATAGGGAGATACCATAGGGACATTTAGGTTAAGATTTTTCAGCCTGGATATATGCATATTGAAATTATAGAGGTGCTTATAAGAGGGAAGAAATGAAGATAATAGGTGAATGGAGAAGAGATAATCCTAAGAGCAAGATCTGGAAAGAAGTATGCTGGTACTTAATGAAAAGATAAAGGCAAAGCTGCAAAGGACTATAATCTTGAGGTAGAGAATAGGAGCTCACAAACTGGAGGCAGTATCATTGATTGAGATTAGGGGAAGATAGATTTAAGGGCCACAAGAGACATGAAATAATCCTTTTAGAGTATGCTTAAAAGAATTATTGTTTGCTGCTGATAACTTTAATTGAAGCTAGAATAACAAATCAACTTATAGGCCAAAGGAGCATGATGATCTGATTTTCTCTAACAGTACCTTTGGCCAGGGAGAAGATTGGAAAAGCAGATAATGGGATAATTCAGACTGGGAGTTAGTTTGATGGAAAATTTGCAGGTTAATGAATGTATAAAGGACTGGCGTGGGTGGCTCTGAACTCTAAATTACAAATGTGCGTAATGCAACCCAGAAGAAAGCATATTGTGAATGCATTTTATGTATGCTATGCATTTAGATGTAGACTCATTAAAACAGAATTTTTACCTTTTACCTCTGTTTAGAACTCTAGATGAATTACATACTGGCCCCTGGGTTTGTTAAAATTGTACTCAAGAAGAATCGTTAAGTTATAAGAGTCATCTATTCTTTTGTGTGAAAGGAGGAAGAACTTCAAAATTGAGTGTCACTAGTTTTATTTCTTATCAGTTGTAGTCTTGTGTTACTATTGGACACAGTACTTGCAAAAGTTTGCCTCATTGTACAAAGTGAAGAAAATAGATATCAACTTACACCTGGAGGTTAATTTTGTTCAAGTGTCTATATATTTCATCATCCAACTGTACTGTAAGACAACAAATAACAATCAGAGAGAGGTATACTCAAGGAATACTCAGTGTAGTTACTGTTTTGTAGTTCAGTTAAACATTGTTTGATAATCCTTGATAGTTTTCTTCCCATAGTGAGAAGAAAATCATTATAGCTAAATTTTAGAGCTAGCATGCTAAATGTCTTATTTAATTTTTAATTTAAGAAAACTACTATCAGTTGAAATCTTCAAAAATATTTTAGCCATGGTACATGCAGATTAAGACTGGAAGCTCTTTTCATCTTCAATAAATTTCCACCTGTTCTGTGATTCTTGCCTCCATCACTCCATCCCAGGAACCTTGCTTCCCTTATAAATCAAAGCTGCTTTGTATGGTTCTTTGGGAGTCTAGTTAATAATAGTAGCTTCTTAGGAGCATAGAAATCTTAAAAAGAAGTTCTGAGAAAGGTGAAGGTCAGCCATTTATCCTTTTATTTCCACAAATATCTACAGGATAAACAAAGCAAGACAAAACACAGTTATTTATGGTTGTGAAGAGTTTGAAAGATGCCCATAATATTAAATTATTTGTATCAGTCTTTTGTATTCTGGCCTTGATACTAGCAGGGAAGTGAAATTGAGTGTTGGGCAAGTTAATTCCAGGTAGATGTAATAGCATACCTTCATGACACAGTAGGCTTCTGGAAAAATTATGCAGACTACTTACATGTTAATAGGTATTTAGTTTGAAAAAAATTATGTCATACTCTGAAAAAAAAACCTGTGTTGTTATTTCATAGAAAACTATCCCAAGAAATTCACTTTATATATTACTCATATTCCTTTCCCGGTAGAGTATTTATTTAGTAAAGTGGGAAAATAGTCATTTTTGCCTTGTGAGAACAGTTTCTACTTAAATAGATTTTCATTTAGAAACTAAAACTACATTTTTGGGGGCCTCCTTGGTGCCGCAAGCAGTTAAGTGTCAGCACTGTGAAACTATCCACAGCCACTGCAGCACCAGTTCGATCCCCAGCCAGGGAGCTAACCTACATGGCACAGCAGACCTCTCCTGTCTTGCCCGCTGCTCCCCTCAGCAGTGTATTTCAGTCATTCTGCCTGTTCTGCTCCCCAATCTGTCTCTGGTGAATCTTTTAACCCTCCACACCTCTCGCCTATACCCCATATGCATAAATAAATAAATCTTAAAAAAAAAAATAAAACTGCGTTTTTGGTTGAATTGGTTTTAGTGCACACTGATACCTTTTGACTGACTGATTACTTTTCTCTTTAGGGTAAGTAATACGATTTATTTAGCCCTCAGCCTATGCATTGGAGCAAAAATACGGACAATTAGACATTTGTTATCATAATAGTTTTTTCATATTTGACTCTCATCTCTGTTTAATTTTCTGTGCTAAAAAAAGCAACAATACATAAATGAACTAAAGTATCAAGGGACCGGCACTCTGGTTTAAGTGACAGGCACTCTGTTTATTACTCTTTTTTTTTTTTTAAAGATTATATTCATTTATTTATACAAGAACTGGGCAGGGTACAGTCAGAAGCCCAGGAGGGTGAGAGAATTCACCAGAGCCAGAGCGGGGAACAGAACAGGCAGACTGACGAAATACACTGCCGAGGGGAGCAGTGGGTGTGGCAGGAGAGGTCTGCATGCCATGTGGGACTCTCGCTGGTGGCTGGGGATCGAACCAGTGCTGCAGAGGCTGCGGCAGCTTCGCAGCCCAGCAATCAACCGCTGCGCCACCAGGGGAGGCCCCTCTGGTTTATTACTCTTTTGAATACATCTTATGTATTATTTTAAGGTCCTGTTCTTTCCTGCAAGAAAAGTTAGCAAATAAGTTTCTATTTGTGACTTGATTTTTAAAGTAAAGTCCTTTTTGAGAATTAAGATGAAATAAAGTTAAAATGATAGGGACTAATTAACTGGAAGACTAGGCTGATTAGTGAGTGATTTGTTTAGATACAGAAAATCATAAAGAATTTTTGGGCATCCCTGGTGGCACAAGGGGGGTTTAAGTCTCAGTGCTGTCAAGCTATACCCAACCACTGCAGCATGAGTTCCCATCCCTGGCCAGGGAGCTACCCATATGGTGCAGCAGACCTCTCCTGTCTGGCCTGCTGTGCCCCTCAGCAGTGTATTTCAGTAGATCTACCTGTTCTGCTCCCCACTCTGTCTCTGGTGAATATATATATATATATATCACTGCCATAATGAGACGGGATAAAATGAAATTATCTTTTATTTACTTTAGACTTTTTTGGTAGAAAGAAATAAAAGTCAGTTTAAACAAGCACAAATGAAAGGGAGGTGTTATAAGAGAGAATCTGATTGGCACCCATGAGAAAGAAATGAAATAGAACCAAGCTTCAAAGGAAGTGGAAAGTTAGAAATCAATGAATATATCTCCGTTTCTGCTCGCTCTTTGGGTTTCTGTTCTACCTTCCCCTCTTACATTGGGGAACATGTCTTCATCTTGGCATGTTATTGACCGGCCTTCACTGCTTAATTTTTCAGTCTGAATATCCACCACCTTTGTCTCTCTTTTTTTCTTTATCTCACTTTTCCCTCCCTCCCTCCCTGCTTACATCTCTCCTCCCTTCCGTTCCTCCCCTCTTTTTTTTTCATTCAGATTTTCAAAAACTTGGTCAAAAGCAATAATAAATTGTTTCTGCTTGGGTCAGGTATCCAGGCTTGGGCAAGTCAGAAGCTTCTATGTTGGGAGGTTAGAGTGTTAGAATCACACAGTAAGTATAGGGCAAATGAGATAAGCACCTTTGGTGATAGGGGGTGGGAGTGGGGAAGCTTAGGAAAAGTGCTGATTCCCAGAGAAGGGGAATGTTAGTAGAGAATACAATGACATATGTCTAATATGCCAAATTTATAAAATAGACAACAGGCAGTCCTGTTCTTTTGTTTAGGATACTTCATAAAGCATGTAGGAAAGCTACAGAGACAGTAATTAGGGAAGGGGCATAGTGGGAAATCCATTTTCAGAGAACTAAAAATAGTAAGCCTAATTATAGTACACATCTATTTTTTTAAATCACCTCAGTGTTATCAGTACATCCATGTGATAATGATAAATGTAGGCAATAAAAATTGAGCCACCTACTCCTGCCTATTTCCCAGTACTATTAAGTTATCTTGGCCTCCCCATCATTGACTGCTTCCTGGTAAAATAAGCCTTGTTCATTCTTCTGTTTCCTGGATCTCATTCTTTATCTCTGTCTTGCACATACCTTTTTAAGATAACAGTAAGCTTACCTTGACAGGAATGCAAATAAATTCACAAGTACTTGGATCACAGATAAGAGTTACCCAATACATTTGCGGTTCACCAATATTCTGAAGCCCTTGTTGTAAAGAAAAAGTATAGTATTTACCAAGTGATGTTTGTGAATCTCTGGGCTCTTATCACAGTTGACATAATTGCCAAATTACCTCATTTTCCCTAAGAGTCCATTCTGTCTATGCTGTCAGCTCCCAATATAGATATGTAAAATTAGAGTCTATGATTGCATTTAGAGAAATGCCCTTTCCCCGCTTTGAATTATCAACAAATCAGTGCTACAGATTCTGGTGTTCCATTTCTTCATTCTTCTAAAATGGATACATTTTCCAAAAGTAATATGCCTAGTTAATAAACATCAAACACAGTAGTACCTAAAATTTAATGTTACAGTGGCTCGGAAAAAGATGTGAACAGTATTTTCGGGAGGTAAATCTTTAAGGAAATTATTTGATGGTTTGGATACTGTCTTAATTTTAATTTATCTTAATTATAGCTTTTCTTTGTCTTTCAGAAAAAGCCTATCCAGAAGCTGGGTCAGCAAGAATGTCACTTCTTATATTGGTGTCCATTTTCTTATCTGCAGCTTTTGTTATGTTTTTGGTATATAAAAATTTTCCTCAGCTTAGTGAGTAAGTATACTGAAAGAAACTGAAAGAGACAAAGGTGGATTAAACGCTAACCTATTTTAAGGAATAGAACTGTCATAGCAATTGTTTATCAGCTCTCATGGCTTATAAAGTCTCTATTAGCACTATTATTTAAATATTTCTTTCCAAATGAATAACTATAAGAAAGTGAAAATCAAAATCAACAAAAAACTATGAACCAGAGACACTCTATGGGGGTGGGGGGCAGGGAGGGGAGGGATTGGGGTCAAAATAAGGGGGTTGCAATTGTATGGGGAATATAAAAATAAAATTTATTTAAAAAAAATAAAAGCAACAAATTCAAATAAATTTGGATCTGTGAAAGGAAAGATGACAAAAAAAATTTTCTTTCCAAATATAATTTTTTTATAGGTTTTTCTAGCATGCTCCTAATTAATGCCTCATTTTTCCAATGACTTTCAAAATTAAAGTAAACAGAAACAAAACCATAACTGCATTAAGAGACATTTTTGATACATGATCTTGCATGATCAGCAGTGTATTTCAGTCTGCCTGTTCTGTTCCCCGCTCTGTCTCTGGTGGATCCACTGTCCCCCTCTACTCCCTCACTTGCCTATATATATTAAAACTAAGTTTCATGAAATGGGTGATAGTTGCTGATATTTTCTAAATTTTTCTATTTATTTCTTTTCATTTTTTTTTTTAAAGATTTATTGATTGATTGATTTATACATACATACATACAAGCACTGGGTACAGTCAGAAGCGCGGGAGGGTGAGAGAATTCCCCAGAGCCAGAGCAGGGAGCAGAGCAGGCAGAAGGACTGAAGTACACTGCTGAGGGGAGCAGTGGGCGGCAGGAGAGGTCTGCGCGCCATGTGGGACCCTCCTCAGGTGGCCGGGGAGCAGCCGGGGATCGAACCGGTGCTGCAGTGGCTGCGGGCAGCTTCGCAACCCAGCGCTCAACCGCTGCGCCACCAGGGAGGCCCTATTTCTTTTCACTTTTTAATGTTAATAGTGACCAAGTAAATTTATTTTATAGTCCATGATATATATTGATCTGTAGTTTGAAAAAACTGAGGCTCTTCTCTGCTTTCCCCCCTTTTCCATCCCTGTTTTCTCCCTACTGCTTTTCCTTGTGATCAATTTTTATTTGCATCTACCCATCCATTTCCTTCCCTACTACATATCTTGTCTCTAGCTCTTTTCCTCTTACTTTTTCATTGAAAATTATATCACTTGAATGGTTCTTTTCACAGTAAAGTATACCTGTGACTTACAAAATATTTTTTTTGTCTAGTACAGGTCCCCAATTTCCTAGCCAAAGCCTTAAGAGTGAAGTGTATTTTGGAATCTAGACTTTTTTTGGGTTTTTTTTTGTTTTTTTATACAAGAACCAGGGTACAGGCCAGATGCACGGTAGGGTGAGAGGATCCACCAGAGACAGAGTGGAGAACAGAACAGGCAGACTGATGAAATACTCTGCTGAGGGGAGCAGCGGGCAAGACAGGAGAGGTCTGCTCACCATGTGGGTTGCTCCAAGGCCGGCAGGGATCGAACCGGCACTGCAGAGGCTACGGACAGCCTTCAGGGAGGCCCTAGAATTTTTTTTTTTTAAGATTTATTTATTTATGCATACAAGAGCTGGGGTATAGGCCAGAGACGTGGGGGGTGAGAGGATCCACCAGAGACAGAGTGGGGAGCAGAACAGGCAGATTAACTGAAATACACTGCTGAGGAGAGCAGGGCATGAGACAGGAGAGGTCTACCTCGCCATGTGGGTTTCTCCCTGGCCGGCTGGGGATCGAATTCGTGCTGCAGAGGCTGTGAATTGCTTCATAGTACGGTGCTTAACCCCTTGCGCCACCAGGGAGGCCCAGAATTTAGACAGTACCTTCAAAGGATCTGGGACAGCATTCCTTCATCAAATATGTTAACATTTTTCAAAGAAACCTGTATATAAAATACTGTAAATAACTTTATATGAAAGTGTGATTCAGCTTTTGCTAACAAATTATAAAGAACTTTTGGTTTTCAGAATTTTTTTCTTTAATTTAGGGAAGAGATTGTGGATCTGAAACACATTTTAAGAAGGTAGAAGATCCCAGACTGTTTTATCTCAATGATACCAACCCTGTGTAGTCATAGATTACATAAAGGCCTACTAACATGTAGTTAGACTTTCAACCAGGGCCCAATCTGGTATGGTAGTGCATAACTAAAATGTGGTTTCAAGGTATCAGGGAATTCCTCCTGTTTCCTCCAAATTCCTTTCATTGACAGTTCTTTATGCTTGAAAATTTATAGATAAACTTCTATTTATTTTATGTCTTTGATTTCTTGTATCAATGTAAATGCCTTTCCGGGATAATAGCTTGTTATATTGTTCTGTTAATATTAGTGTGCTTGAATTTTTGATCACTTCAAGTTTTGATGAGGAAATAGCTGACTGAAAGAAAGAATATAGACTGCAGGTTAAGATTATCTTTGTCCCCAGTCTGCTAGAAGCATGGTAAAATCACCTGTATAAAACATTGTGCTATTATAACCCTTTTATAGTCTGTTTACTTCTTTCTCTGTGTGTGTCATGTATTCTCGCCTTTATAAAGTGTTTTAATTCTTAAATTTATAAATGAGATTTATATATTTATAATTTTTATAGAATTCAGGAATTGAGTAGCACTTTGTTGTTTTGCAAGATCAGTTAAATTTTATCAAATAAACAAATAGGCCCAATCTACATTAAATGCAAAGGTGATTATTTGAGGTTTTTGTAAAGAAGGAATCATTCAGTTCCAAATAAAGTAAAATTAATGTTTAGGTTTTTTTTTTTTTTTTTTTTAATCTGAGAACTGGGGTACAGGCCAGATGCACTGGAGGGTGAGAAGATTCACCATAGACAAAGCAGGGAACAGAACAGGCAGACTGACGAAATACACTGCTGAGGGGAGCAGCGGGCAAGACAGGAGAGGTCTGCTACGCCACGTGGCTATCTCCCTAGTCGGCCGGGAATTGAACCGACGCTGCAGAGGCTGCGGACAGCTTCACAGTGTGGCGCTCAACCACCTGCGCCACCAGAGAGGCCCCAATGTTTAGGCTTTTATTTCAAGTTTTAGCTGGGATATTCCAGGAAGGGTTTGAACTGTAAATTCATTGTAATTTTTACTTAATTTTAGTTGTAATTGATAACTAATTTTAGCTTTTTTGTGAGGATTACCAAAATGACATTAAGTATGTTTTAAATATGCTAACATCGGTGGTTCATTTCTTAATTAAAAATTTAAACTAATGTTGGAACAATTGCTTTTAACCTTTAGTTGGGGTCATCCTTAAATTTCATATATAGATTATATTTTTTATGAAATTATATTAAAGCATTAAAAAGTTATTGTGCACTTTTGAACTTGATATTTGTAAATTTTGCTGAACATATTACAGCTCAAGGACTCTAATCATTTGGGTAAAACTTTGTTTTGAACTTGACTGTGATGATAATTATCTTGGCAAATTTGTGCTTTAAAAAATTTTACTTTAATTTTGTTTCTTTAGAGAAGAAAGAGTGAATATGAAGGTTCCCAGAGATATGGACGATGCCAAGGCTCTAGGAAAAGTTTTATCCAAATATAAGGACACCTTTTATGTAGAAGTACTCTTAGCTTATTTTGCTACATATATTTTGTATCCTTTTATCTGAAAAATGTTTTCTAGTTTCAAGAAAAAAGGTTTTTATTAAGTTCTGCTATGTAATATTAATACTAAAAATGTTTTAGGTGTTTTATTTTGAATCTTTATTCATGATGTTTTTCTTCCATTTACTGATTTTCTTTATTAAGAACCCTAAGTTGATTCAGAAAATAGGAAATTTTATTTTTGAGAGCAGAAGAGGTGGATTTATTGAAATACACTGCTAAGAGAAGCAGTGGGTTGGACAGGAGAGGTCAGCTACCAATATGAAATTTTAAAAATAATTCTTAGTATGCTTTTCTTTGCATTATAGAAATGTATGTTATGTTTTGGTAATTAGGAAAATACCCTATTTCTGTATATTTTCAAGCTGTGTATAGTGCTACATTTTGATTTTGAATTTTATATCTTTTATTCTAATCCAACCTACTTTTCAAATCTCCATTACTGAAAGACATTTTTTCTTGTTGTGAAGGTAATCATCCTTTTAAAATCAGTTTTTAATTTAAGGAAAGCAAATTAGTATTTTTCTATTTCTCTCAAATTATTTCTATTCTTGCTTCCTCTTTTATTTTCTGAATATCTTTTGGTTTATTGGAATTTCAACTAAAACTCAACCTTGTAAAATTTAATACATTTTCTTGGTGGAGACACTGTCTTCATGAATCTACCTTTTGACAGGTCATTTGGGGCAGCTGTTTTAATAAAGCAATTTAATTATATATAAATTTTTAAGACAGCTTTTAAGAAAAGGTAAGTTTCTTAAAGCCTGTCTTTTCCTATTCCATTTTGTCACTTTTATGTAAAACCTTGAGTGTTAAGCTAGGTGGGTTATTTTGCCTTTCTATACTCTAACCATAAATTAAAATACTTTCCCCAAATAAGAAACAAACTTGGTTTAACCCCTTTCATTGTCTTTTATAAAGTTTTTATGAACATTATGAACAAGGCATGTAGTTTCTGTTTACTTTGGAAAGTTATCTTTTATGCCTCCTAGATTTGGGAGGGTATTTGGCAGAGGGTCAAAGGAACTAACTACCCATTGGACCAATTAGCAGCTTAGCAGAATGCATCTTGATTATCTATGGTATAATAAATGTTGTAGCTTGGTTGTCCTGATATTCATAGGCAAGTTAGTAGAAAAGAGTGAACTGCCTTGAGAAAGTGAATTGTGAAGGTACAGGAATGAGCTTATTGCAAAATACATTGGGTTTAAATTTTAAATAAACTATTGATAATATTGTCAGTTTGGCAGGTCATATTGCATATTGTTATTGTTTACTTAATAAGTAATTTTAATGATTTCACTGAAATAATTTGTTAAATCCAAAGTTTCTTAAATTTTATTTATACTTTTGAAATTTTTTTTCAGATTTATTTATGCATACAAGAACTGGGATGTAGGCCAGAGGTGAGAGGGTGAGAGGATTTACCAGAGACAGAGAGGGGAGTAGAACAGGCAGATCTACTGAAATACACTGCTGAGGGGAGCAGTGGGCAAGACAGGAGAAATCTGCTGTGCCATGTGGGTTGCTCCCTGGCAGGCTGGGGATCGAACTTGCGCTGCAGTGGCTGGCGATAACTTGATAGTGCTGTCTTTAACCCTTGCGCCACGAGGGAGGCCCCACTTTTGAATTTTAAACTCTTAAGTATTAAAATGGTACTTTTTTAAACTCAGTGACCCAAAGAGAAAGACCTTACCAAGGGCATGGAATGAGTATTTGTTTTACAAGTACAGTGCTGTTAATGGAAATATAATAAGCCATGTGTAATTTAAAATTTTTCTAGTAGGTACATTAGGAAATATAAAAAGTAACACCTGAAATTAATTTTAATAATGCATTTTATTTGCATAAATATATAAAATATTTCTTTCAATATGTAACCAATATAAAATGATTGAGATATGTTATATTCTTTTTTTCATACTAAGTCTTTATGTGTGGGTTTATTTTACACTTACAGCACATCTCAATTTGTAATAGGTATGTTTCATTGTCTCCATAGACACATATGGCTAATGGTTACTGTATTTAACAGGGCAGTACTTACACCTTCATTGGTAGTGCCTAACTTCAAATTCTTGTGTATAAATCACTTTAAGCATTACTTATTTTAACCTTAGCATTCATTCATTTAACTAGGTTTTAATTTTGTCTCTTTATTTTCTTTTCTTTCTTTTTTAAAGAAGTGCTAACTATATACTAGGTACTTATTAAAAAATCCATTTTTTATTATTCAAACAGAACAACTATTTACATCTTCACTAATGGAGAATTGTCAATAGAGAGATGATGCAGTCATTCTAGACAGCAAGTGTAGAGTGGCATTCACAAAAAATAGGGCATGGTTCAACAGTGATCAGTCATTAGTTGAGTGGAGGATAGGGTGTGAGAAAGGAGGACTGAGAAATAAGTTTAAGAAAATAGTCTGGCCAGATAATAGTGGACCAGGCTAAGGAGTTTAGAGTGTTTATTTAGTATTGGTTAGTCATTGAGGACTGTGAGCTGTGTAATCATTAAAAGTATCAGTGTCGGGCCTCCCCTGGTGGCGCAGCGGTTGAGCGCTGGGCTGCGAGGCTGCCCGCAGCCTCTGCAGCGCCGGTTCATTCCCTGGCCGCTGGTGAGGGTCCCACCAAAAAAAAAAAAAAAAAGTATCAGTGTCATCTCTTTGTTTTTCTAAGCCTAAAATGTTGTAGTATCTTTTGGAAATTTCTTTTAATACAGAAAATTTAAAACACACAAAAATAGAATCATAGAACAAACTCCAACTTCAGCAATTCTCAGTATTATGCCAGTCTTGTTTTTGGAGGTTATCTTTGGCTTTGTATTTTTAGCTTTTTAGAGAAAAAAAGGGGATAGGCAGAAGAGCCAACTTTGGGGATAAGAAAGAAGAGTAACATTTATTTTGATTTGGAAAATGCTGAGTTTTAAATACTCAGCAGCATCTATGTCCAAATGCCATTCAGCAGGACATTGGTTAAATAAATCATGGTAAATCTGAACACTGGTAAAATTGAAATACTATATAGCTGTCAAGGAGAAATACTCTTTACCTTCATATTATAGTAGGTGAAAAGGTCAAGACAGACTAGTACAAATAAGTATGCAGTGTTTTTTCTGAAAAGGGTACGATATGAGTATACACGTGCACATACTCATTATCTTGTTATATTTCTTAAAGAGAATGGAAATCTTTAAGAAAATCAATAAAAAAAAATTTACCTGTGAGTAGAGAAATGAAATAGGGGTGACAGGGAAATGTTTCTAAATATACTTTATTGTGTAGATTTTACTTTAGAAGCAAGTAAATATTTTACACTCGCAAAACCCAATAAATCAAAATAAAATAAAAGCGAATCTTAAAAATCTAAAGCAACATTTACCCATTAGGATGACTACTGTAAAACAAACAGAAAATAACAAGTGTTATCCAAGCAGCAGCCTAGGTGTTTTTTAGTTTATAGGCCTCTGAGTGGTTTTGGTGGAGGCAGAGCCCATGGAAGAGCCATTTGGCAATGGCAGAACCCAAGATGCAGAAGGAAGAGGTTGAAATTAAAATAAGGGGAGTAGAAATTAGAGGATAAGAGGAGAGGGAGAACTAAATATAAAGTAGTAAGGAGAGAGATGTTGGGGGGAAGTCCCTCCCTCTGACAAGTGAATCATGTTCGGGATTAAAAAAAGGGGCCCACACCAGAACTGTAAATGAGTGGAAAGTAGAAATGGTGTAATTATGTTTTTCAAGCAAGACTTAACTGTTTTGTAACCTCTATCGTTATTTTAAAAAGAAGCAATGAATTGATGTAAATGTCTAAAAGTTAAATTAGAAATAAGTAATTGTACCTTATATGTCCCAGATTTCACAGAAATCTCCCTACTCCTCTTTATCTGGTACATGTTCGAAATTTGTCTTGATTTTTCCTTTAGTGACACTCTTATTCGCATTATATTTATGATTATGTTAGTAATGTTAAAGACAGTACAACTGAAGAGTCACATCGTTTATAAACTTTTGGATGTAATTTACTTTATCTTTAAATACTGATATATGGACTTTTAATCATAACACATTCTGTATTTATACTGAATGTTAAATTTTGCAATGTTGAATTTGCCTTTTAAAAATTGCATTTTATTGTTTTAATCCTTAACTTAGAAGTTAACAGCTTGCAAACATTTGCTATTCCGGGCTCCATATTTCTCAGCATTCTCTCAGGGTTTCTTTATCCCTTTCCACTAGCCTTATTTCTTGTCTGTTTGGTAAGTATATAAAATGAAATTGGGAGACTAGAAAAAAAGTTTTAAATAGAGTGATGAAGATTATGACAGTGTCCTGGTCCCACTATCCTTGTAAGCACAAATTCATTCGTTTTAAAAGATTTTATGTTAAAATATTATCAATTAGGTTCCTCCATAAAGAGGTGTTATAGTCAATTTAGTTAGTTCCCTGTCATGGGAATCATAGACTGGATTGTATATATAGGCTCTATTTTAGCCTTTCCTTCCTATTGTGTTTTGTAATTCCTATAGTCCAGGAGTATTGGTGAACATGATGAGTTAAGTCCCAGGGTTGAGAGTGGTGTTTTCAAGCATAGCAATTGGGAAAAAAAAAATGACACTTGAAGTTTGTTCTTAGGCTGCAGATTAATATTAACTATTGGATATAGTCATTAACTTTTATCACAAGTCTCTGTTTTAAGCTGGTCTCATTTTAGTTATGATTTGTTTTGAGAACATACTAGAATAAATGAATTCTTATTAGAGGTGTCATGCAGCGTATCCTCCCCACTCTCCTAAAATAAGTGAAGTTGTTGAGCTTTTCCTTAGCTGAGTATGTCCATGTAAATAAGATGGAAAAGTATACAAAATGCTAATGGGTTCTTACTATTTTCTAGTGTTCTGGACTTGGTGCCTCATTCTGCTACATGCTCTCCTATTTAGTTGGGAGGCCAGTTGTATACAAATACTTAACAGAGAAAGCAGTAAAATGGTCACAACAGGTAAACCCTATTTTTAAATTATTTAATGTAACTATTTGGCTAATTGGGAAGTCAATGTATATAGTCTCGCACATGAATTAACTGACTCAAGACTTGAAAATATTTTTGACCAAAATAAAATCAAGTGGTAGGTAAAAATGAATGTTAGTAGTTTCAGATACAAATCATTTGTGCCCATAACAGTAATTTTAGTTCTCCATTTTTAGTAAGTCCAATCAACAGAGAAGTTAAAGTTATCGACATAAAGGCATTCATATATTTAGGCACCTAAATACATGCTGTTGTATGTGGACTACTGGAAAACTTCTATCAGCCAATTCCTTTAGTACATTTCATAAGTGGGAAAAACTTTAGTTAGGATTTTGAAAAAAGTAGCAGTGATAAATTTAAGCACTATTACACAGAAAACTAATATAGTATTGCTAAGGAAATCCTAATTTTATAAAGAATCAGAAGAAACAGTTTTAAATCTTAGAGGAATTTTAGAGATCATCCTGCCTTACCCATTTGTTTTACAGATTAGGGAATTAAGAGGAATTAAGCACTTGACCCCAAATCAGTGTCATTTATTTGTGAATCAAGATCTAGAATCTCAGATCTCTAGATTTTTAGTGCTCTTCTCACTTTATCACATGTGTACTGAGTATTATAATTGTTTTACATAAAATTTTTTCTTTGGAATAATTGTTTTGTTATCTGTAATTGGTCTTATTTAAAGGAAATAATAGTTATCTGAAATTTTCCTTAATTGAAATCTGGGTTTATTGATGTGCTATATTAATCCTTTACATTATAGGAAATTAAAGGTGTTAAAAGTGTGGTTACTTGCTGTGTATCTTATTTCTAGTCATAAATTTAATTTTGCTGTATAGGGTTAAAATGCCATTGCTGAGCCATCATTATCTAAATTGATGAAGGACTATCTTTAGTAGTGTAATATAATCACAATTTTAAAAAGCTCATGTTATTTAACTCATAATGAGCATCTGATAAGTGGTTCATTGTTTCACGTTCCATTTTTAGTCATTTTGTTGGATTAAACTGAATTATTAAGGATGAGGATTTGAAATAAGGTATTTATATTAAGTCACTTACCAAGATTGGCCTCATCTTGATCCTTTTTTTCCCCACAGGTTGAACGTCATAGAGAACATCTCATTAACTACATTATATTTTTGAGGATAACACCATTTCTGCCTAATTGGTTTATTAATATTACATCTCCTGTTATAAATGTGCCACTGAAAGTTTTTTTTATTGGCACTTTTCTAGGTAAGGCTTTTGGTTCATGCTTGGAATGATTGTATACATATCTAATATGTAGCTGGGCTAGATTTCATGATTTTTGCAGGCCTGGCAGCACCGTATAGAACTCCTGGGCAGGGAGCCTGGCCTATATAAATAGATGCTCTGAAATGTTTGATGGATTGTATTGATATAAGTATTTTTGTGTTAATTCTTTTAAAGAATTAACAGGATATGTTTTTCCCCATTCATCTGCACATGGCAAGTTTATTGAGGAAAGGGGAAAAAAAGGAAAGAGAGATGCTTGCATAGACATAGGTGGGCAGTCTTAAAAAACAAGGACTGCCTAGATATTTTTTTTAAAGTCATACAGAATTAAGTAGTGATTTAAAACTCTATCCTCTCAGTGGAAAGAAAAAAAGTCAGTGTATCTTTCTTGAATAATTTTCTCTTTTGCCTTCCAATCGATACTGAAATATTGCACTTCAGTATCTTATTTTTCATTTTGTTGAAATCAACATTTACTATAGGCATTATCAAAAAGTATGAGGAAGCAAAGACCAACAAAAAGTTCTTGCCTACAAGGAGCTGACACTTAATTTTGAAATCAGTAGCTGACATAAAGATGATGTATATATTTTGTGAATTCTGATGGCTCTATAGTATGAGTATCATGCTTTTCTTTCAAATTTATGTTGAATTGTTTGGATGCCAACGAAATGACAATATTCATGTATTGAGTGTGTAGTTCAAGTTAATGCTTGTGAGACTAGAACTCTAAAAAGAATAATTTTATTTTGCTACTTTTATTTTTACTTTGTATTGCTATGTAAAAAAATTCTTTTACAAACTTAAAGTCTTAAGTAGAAATAATTTGGGTTTTATAAAATGTTATACTAATGGACTCATAGGAGAGAATTTTTATTCCTCATCTTTTTAAATGCCTAGAGAGTTAATTAACTTCAGATTTGGCTAATGTAGTTTTTTCAGATTGTTCTGGATTTTAGTAAAATTTGATCAGCCCACACATACTCTTGTATAAATTGCTCTTTTTGCTTATATTTTAATTATTACCTATTTCTGAATATATCCTGTCACTTCATTTTAAGTTAATTCTATCAAGGGTAAATGACAGTTAATTCAGTCTTACTTTTGAACATGTAGATTATTTCCAGGTTTTTATTATTGCTTTGAACACCCTTGTAACTAAATCTTTGCTCAGATACATTATTTTCTAAGGTTGAAGTTACTGGATCAGAGCTTTTTTTTTTTAAAGACTGATGATAAATATTATAAAATTATTTTCTGGAAACTTTTCTTGCGTTTTCTAACTTATTTTCCTTAAGAATTGATTATAAAAATTGAATTCTTTATATAATAAATTTGAGGGGGTTTAAGTTATATTAAAATGTTCCAAAATAGAATTGCTATATTCTTACAAGATACTTTATACACAGAGAACATTTTATGTTTTAAAAACAATGACTTTTGCTGAATATTGTTTCATTTTTTATTTTAGGTGTTGCACCTCCTTCTTTTGTAGCAATTAAGGCAGGAACAACACTCTACCAGCTTACAACAGCAGGGGAAGCTGTTTCCTGGAACTCAGTATTTGTCCTAATGATTTTGGCTCTTCTTTCTATTCTGCCAGCCATCTTCCAGAAAAAGCTAAAGCAGAAATTTGAGTGAAAAATCATCTGGATTTTAGTTTTCCTCTAAATAACATCACCATTATCATCTCAGGATTGGCAGTTTTATGTGTTAAAATCACCTCTTCAGTAATTGAAACAAGGAATTTGTAAAACAAAATTACCTACCAGACAGTTAAAATAATGCATTTAAGTGACAAGAGAGAGAAGAAAGTAAAAATGGAAATTGATATACTGTGGAAAGTACTGTGAAAGTACTATCAGTAGTTATGATAAATGTCTTTTAAATACTATTCCAAAGGTAGCTGTAGATAATTAGTGGCAACATAGCAGGAAATTCTTGACCTAAGCTGATTCATTTAATGTATTTCATGAACTGGCTATACCTACTTAGCCTGGACTTGTAAATTTGATATTTTTTTGTTTAACCCTTACTAAAAACTAAAGTAGATATATGAAAGTAAAAGACTCTAGATTTTTTTAAAAATAGCATTGCAGTCCTGGCTAATGTTAGCCTTTTTTCATAGCATAAACTTGAAAACAAAAGCTCAGACGAGATTACACCTTCCTCTTTTTACCTTAGAGGTAGTGGATTTGTTTAAAAGTTACAACTTAGTTGGCATTGAATTTGGAAAGGATGTAAGTTATATCTGTTTCTGTATTTTATTTGTTTTTTTTTCCATTCTGAATTAGCATGGATTTGTCTGAAATTTAAAATTCTGACCAGTCTATTTTCATCTTTTTTCTAGTTTTTGCAATAGTTCTGTGCATATACGAAATGGCAATTACAAGATATTTGGTGTTGATAATTTATATTCAGATAATATTTTGTTACACATTTCCCCTTTACTATCTCAAAAGGGGATCAAGAAAGTAAAATTCAAAGTATGCTGTTGTTAGATGTTAGATTATATTATATTTTGAAACAGAAGCATAACACTTTTGGTGGGTAAAGTTTATTTGTTTCAATGACTTTAAAATTTACCTCACTTATTTGTTTGGTCATTAAAGTATGTACTATGTAATTATTCTTTATATGCATGATACTCTTATAAGAACTCCTTGTTTCATTTCTGTTGATGGCTTTTTTGTTTGAGGCTGCTTTTGATTAACACAGTTTCTCAGTTTAGTGTTTTTATAACACTAAGTTAAATTAACTTTTCACATGGTAACTACTATATTTAAATAGTCCTGGAGAAAATAGACAGCTTTGCTACTTGCTTAATGGTACACTCTTCCTTGATTTTAGGACATAGCTGATCTAAAGTAAAATACTCTGTCAGTTTTGTTTTCACCCAAGACTGTTATGTTGAAAAGTACTTCAGCTGTGGGAAAAATCCTTGTATGTTTTTATTGTGGAGGTATGATCATCCTCAAAGCCTGTTTCTACTGCATAATGTGGACTGATTCATTATTTTTTCTATCACAGTATTAACAAATGGATTTATTGTAAATACAAAGGAAATATATTGATTAATACACTATTCTTATGTCATCTGGTCTTTTGCGTGAAATTATTTATTGTTATTTGTAATAAGGTTTTCTTCCTTTCTCATTGACCATTGAATGATAAAGCTTTTGTTACTTTTACACATGAACTTAAGATACAGCCTTTTGGACAACGTTCATTAAATATTGCTGTTTAAAATGTAACTGAGTACATTTTTATCAGACTTTTAAAAATAAAGATGAGAGCTGGGACTCGGGAGAAGCCTTACTGTTTACTCCAGTGTGTATGTATTCTTTTCCTATCCTTGTCGTTGATTCTTTCTCTTAGTTCATTTTTTTTCCCCTCTGTTAGAAAATTGTATCTGCCACTTAAGGTAGAAAATTGTATCTGCCACTTAATGTAGGGTATGGTTTTTTTTACTCAAGAATATATCCAGTGTTTCCAGATCCCTCATCATTGACTGTTCAGAAAGAACCTTTCACCAATCTATACTTGAATTGTAGTTGGTTTCTTATATTCACAGATTCACAGACTTAGCCTAATGCAAGATGTAAACTCAAGCTTCAGCCACATCTTGAAGACAGTTTGACAGTAAGAACCACAGGAAAGCAAGTATGTGTAGTGGGGAGAAAAGCAGGCTCACTCTAAGTAAGATTGTTCCCTTTTTAGTTAATGGGCTCTTTGTGGTGCTGTATTACATTCAGTGTAATATTTCTAAGGCACTTAATAAATGCAATCTAAAATGTAATAAGAATAAATTGTACTGAAAAACTTAAATGTACTACTTGGGATTTATTTCATGGATGTATTAGTATTAAAAAACTTTATTGAGTAAAAATATATTCTCTGGGAATTGTGATACACCTTTTCACCTCTAAGTATAAAGAAATCTTTAAAAGCCTTTAATTTTTATAGTTGGCTTTTAAGACTCCTAAAGCAATTTTTAAAATTCTAGAAATAGGTAAACATCTAAGTTTCTAATACATATAATGATTTTTCTATAAAGGAATTCTTTCAAAGTTCTCTTTGGCTTTTTGAAAATGAACAGAATAAATCAATAGGGCTGATGTATAAATGAACATTCAGTGATTGTAATTTATACATTTAGAAGGTGGGTCTTATTACAGATTCAATATTCTGATTATTAATGTTTTTCGTCCTAACCTGGGAAAATTTGCTAGACTGGGTGACTTGGGTTATTATAACTACATACATATAATATATGGACTACTTGAGAAAATATTACTTTCTATTTGCTTACTTTGCTAGTAATACAGAGTAGGATAAAACAGGAATTGTATAGGAGTTTTGAAATACTTGTTATGAAAAACTAAAACCATAATTCAAGTCTTCTGATGACCACCATGTATTACCAGAGACTGCACTGTAAGAATAGGAGGTTGGGAAACCTTATTGAACTAAATTAACGTTTTTTAGGGACCTTAATCTAAGGTTCAGTATTATTCCGAATCTGGAGCTGTGCCAAGTGGGCACCCTTGGAATGATAACTGCTAGAGTGCTGGAGAGTAGACAGTGATCCAGTGTTAGCCAAAATAGTTCTAGGGTACTACTTCATGGACTGCAGGGAGTTTTGAAAACTGCTTTGAGATAAATATTATAATAACATCACAGAAGCTGAGGGGATGGGGCAGGGATACTCTGTTCAAATCTGTATATTTAAAAAAAAAATTTTTTTTTCAAGATTTATGCATACAAGAACTGGGGTGTAGGCCAGAGGTGCTGGGGGTGAGAGTATTCACCGGAAACAGAGTGGGAAACAGAACTGGTGGATCTATTGAAATACACTTCTGTGGGGAGCAGTAGGCGAGACAGGAGAGGTATGATGTGCCATGTGGATTATCTCCCTAGATGGGGATCAACCTCATGTTGGCAGTGACTGGCAATAGCTTGAGAGTGCTGTGTATTTAACCCCTGCACCACCAGGGGGGGCCCAAGTCTGTATATTTTAGATAGAAAACTGAATCATTTTAGCATCGTCTCAACTTTTTAGACTGAGTCTATAAGAATCTTCATCATGAAATAATGGTCTGGAAGATAAAGATTTCTCCAGCATTAACTAACACTTCCCTAAGGAAATGGATTCTTTCTTGAAAAGCTGTCGGAGCTCAAGTCTGACATGAATGTGTAGATTCAAGACCTCTACCTTAATTTCACTTTTGGAATAGGATTCCCTGGTTTGTAAACCAGCAATCTGGGCAATCTGGGACTTGGCTTTTTGGGCTGTTTTTTTTTTTTAATATATATATTCAAAGGGGCAGGTTTTAGAAAAAGGACAGGATGTAAAGGATGCTTGCACAGACATAAGCAGGCGGAAAGAGCTGCCCCTGAAAGGGACAGCTTTTTTAAAAGACAAGCCTGTATAGTCACAGGCAGCAGCCTTGGGAGGAGAGCGACCTCTGCTGCTTTGCAAAGAGAAGGTTGGTGAAGAGAAACACCTGCACACTTACAGGCGGGCAAGAGAGCTGCTGCCTGAGCCTTTTTTTTTTTAAGGTTTATTTTATTTATGCATACAAGAACAGGTTTTACGCCAGATGTGCAGGGGTGGGAGGGTGAGAGGATCCGCCAAAGACAGATTGGGGAGCAGAACAGGCAGATCTACTGAAATACACTGCTGAGGGGAGCAGTGGGAGAGACAGGAGAGAGGTCTGCTGCGCCATGTGGGTTAGCTCCCTGGCAGGGGATTGAACTCATGCTGCAGTGGCTGGCATAGCTTGATAGTGCTGAGACTTTAACCCCTGTGCCACCAGGGAGGCCTGCACTTGGTTTTTGAATTGGTATTAGAGCAGCATTCAAGATTTGTGTTGTCCTAACTAAACCATTGCATGCTTTGAAAACTGGTTACACATTTATTTCTGGATGTATCCGAGAGAGAAAAAGAGAGAGTTTTAACATTTGAATTGGTAGTCTGAGTAAAGCAGATGGTCTTCCCCAATGTGAGTGGGACTCATTCAAGATGTCAAGAGCCTGAATAGAACAAACATAGAGGAAGATTGATTCACTCTGCCTTAATGTTGAGCTATGACATTGATCTTCTATCCTTGGCACTTCTGGTTCTCAGGCCTTCAGACTTGCATTGGAATCTATACCATTGACTCTCAGACTTTTGAATTATATACCACACAGTAGAATATGGAACTTCTCCATACACACATGCACACACCATACAAGGTATTTGGTACTATGGATAGTTGTTAGATTTTATATGTAGCGCTTCTGACTATATAAAGGAAGGAAAAGCAATCTACCTTTATGTAAGTTTTAGGGAAATTTGCATCAGGTCATGTGATGCATTTTGGAACATCACACCTAACTGGATTCAAACACTACAAGAACTGACTCTACCAAAGTCCCGAGAGGCTCTTAGATCACCTTTCTTAGGTATCTAACTTGGGTAGAAGAGAAGCAACATGAGAAACTGGTTATCTCCATATAACAATTCTAACCAGTCTATTTGGGAAGGGAGGCATCAGTTCAGACCTTGAGGAGCTAGAATTGAGTTTAGACGCACAATGAATAGGGTTCTAGGTGATAGAAATGTTTTTGGTCAAATTCTGCCTAAAGCAAGCCCTGAGCATCAATTTGCATCAGCTGTGAATGTGTGGGAAGACTTGGTCACAAATAAAACAACTCTTTCAGGCCTTAGTGTATATGGGGAAGATTCTGAAGAAAAGGGCTGCTTGAGTGGATGGGTTGTTGGAGTGAGGGGATGCATAGGTGGGGCAGAAACACTAGTGTGTTTGTTTTTGTTGTGAATCTGGGCATTTGGGGCAGACTGCACTGGTGACCTGGTACTCCATAAAATGAGGTTATGGTTGGTCAGGGTTCACTGCAACCATAAAAGCTTAAATTACCTAGTAAGATTGTAAACTATCTTGGCCTGTTGACTTCCCTTCCAAAATCAATACGAGAGACACAGTGGGAGCAAGAGGGAAGCATGGATCTAAGAAACGAGCAACATACCATGAGAACCCCCCTGGAGAATGAAAATAGTTAACTATGTATGTGTAATTGCCAGCTTGCTTGCTTTCTATAACTAGTAGCTATAGTCATGATACAGGACTGGAGGACACTGAGACAATAAGTTGAAATTTTGAAAGTCTGGTTTTCTTCTTTCTATATTAATAATAGCCTAGACTCCCTGGATTAATTGGATAACAACAGGATAGTGTGAAAGCCCTACTGGGATGAAGACTTGATGAATATGAGTGCCAACAACCCTCAATAGTCACTTCTCCCTCTCTGCCCCCTTATATCAAGTCTCATAAATTTAGAGCACTATCTCCTATATTAGGGTTCCTTTCTAAGTATTTATGCTTAAATTCCTGAACCAAGGAATGACCCAATAAAGTTGCAGTCAGGATACCAAGGAATCAACAATATAATAACTTCTAAAACTAATAACTGATTTCAGCAAGGTTGCATTTCTATATACTAGTATTAAACAAATGAAATAAAAAGACTATATTTCCACTCATAATCACGGAAAATAAAATGAATAAATCTAACAAAACACGTAGAACTTGTATGCTGAAAATTATTCAATGCTGATGAAAGAAATCAAGGAGAAACAATACTATCTTCATGGATGGATGACTCCCCATTTTAAACATGTCAGTTCTCCCCAGATTGAACATAGATATAATGTAATTTTCATCAATATCCCAGGAAGATACTTTGGAGATATAGACAAGAATTCTTTAAAATTTATATGGAAAGGCAAAGTAGAATGGGTAAAGCAATCTAAGAAGAGTAGAATAATGGGTGAAGAATTGCTTTTTCAGATTCATTATACAGCTGCATAAAGAGTGTGAGTTGGCAGAAAGATAAAAAATTTATTTTAAGGAGGGGAACAGAGAACCCAGAAAAAGACCCACACAAATAACTGTACCCAACTGATTTTGACAGATGCAAAAGCAATTCAATGGAGGAAAGATCTTTTTTTTTTTTAAAGATTTATTTATGCATACAAGAGCTGGGGTGCAGGCCAGAGATGCAGCGGGTGAGAGGATTCACCAGAGACAGTGGGAACAGAACAGGCAGATTGACCAAAGTACACTGCTGAGGGGAGCAGTGGGCTAGACAGGAGAGGTCTGCTGTGCCATGTGGGTTGCTCCCTGGCAGGCTGGGGATCGAACTTGTGCTGCAGAGGCTGCGAATTGCTTTTTAGTGTGGTGCTTAACCCCTTGTGCCACCAGGGAGGCCCGGAAAGATCAACTTTTAAACAAATAATGATGGAGCAAATGGACATCCTTAGGTAAAAAATTAACCTCTACCTAAACCTCAAACATTATATAAAAATTTACTATATGTATAAAAAGCATAAATGTAGGGCCTCCCTAGTGGCTCAGAGGTTAAGTTTCAGTGTTACAAGCTATCACCCGACACTGCAGCCTGAGTTCAATCGCAGCCAGACAGCTAACCCGCGTGGTGCAGCAGACCACTCCTGTCTTGCCCACTGCTCCCCTCAGCAGTGTATTTCAGTAGATCTGACTGTTCTCTCCACTGTCTCTGGTGAATCCTCTTACCTCCTGCACCTCTGGCCTACACCCCAGTTCTTGTATACATAAATAATTTTTTTTTTCCAAAAAAGCATGAATGTAAAACTAACTTAGATAAAAGCAAAAGAAAATCTTTGGTATCTGGAATCAGGCAAATAGTACTTAAGATTGATACCAGAAGCATGATCCATAAAAGGACAGACTGATAAATTGTGCTTAGAAATTAAGAATGTTTGCAAAGGATCTTGTTAAGAGGATGACAAGATAAG